ATGATCTGTTATTCCATCTGTTGAAGTACCGCTGTCAGTCATTCTGAATGTCTGCCCATATGTCACAGGCCTGTGTGTCTGCCAGTCAACCGGCAGGTGAATCATGATGCCAGACAGAACATCGGTCCTCATCAGATTGCCAGTCACTCAAAACTGGAGGTGCTCTTTCGCTCCAGGATGTCAGGTCCCGAGTTCCTGCAGGCCGCTGAACTGTCTCAGGTGAAAGCGGTTCTCAGTGTGTCGGACCATCGAGCGGAGAGCAGTCAACCCAGTGAGAGCCTGAGCGAGCAAACGAGAAAGAGAGACGGGGTTTACAGACGCCATGGCATTCTGACTGAAAACTACAGCCAGTCCATGTACTCTGAGCTGTGCTTTATCGAGAAGCTTGGGTTCCCTCCCTGGAAGAGTGGATGGCTGGCAAGCGTTCATGTGTCAGAGCTACTGCTCATTAGCCATTGAATTATTTACTGATCTGCCACTTTTACCCAAGGCGACGGATATTTGCACCCGTTTATACAGCTGGGAATTTGTTTTACTGGCTCTGGTGAAGTATCTTGCCCTGAAGTTACAACAGCAGCATCTCACCTGTCATTCGAACCCACAGCTTTCCATGAACGAGTCCGGCACCCTAATCACTGCTCCTCACTGCTGCCTCCTGCTGGCAGCACGTATCCCATGTGGCTTTACTGGAAGGATCCATCTAATCGAGGATCTGTTCCTAATTCAACCCAGTCTGCAGGCCTTCCAGTTTGCGACAAGTGGCTTCTTAATTACCTGATACTCAGCAGGGTCAATACAGGATCAGTATAGAAATGAAGGAGCTGGTTATATCAAAACTCTGGAATGGAGCACACAGGAAGGGCGTAGCCTTGAGTTTGGAAATGAACACCCTAGGACATTTCTTAGCATCAAATAATTTCAAGAAAATCCACAAAATTAAATATTTAGACTCTCATCAGTCAATTGATGTTATATTCTGTCTACGTTGACCGGAATAAAACCTGAAGGGAAGTCATCGAAAAGGCAAGTACCTTTCTTCCTGTATATGAGTTATGCGGGCTGTGAATTTACAGAGGCTACTTTGAAATATCACATGCCTTCAATTAAACCATTCTTCTCAGTCTTTTAACTGTCCTGTTGAATAAGGTAACTGCTAGACATTTTTGGTTCCTGATGTACGAATTTTGCTTTAAATACCCCCTTTTTTTTTAGCAAAATCCCTCCACTGTAAACTAACTGGCTGCTAGAGAAATGGGTCTTATTCTGATGAATGAAATGCATTAGCTTGGACTGTACCGATATGGACATACTGTTGTTCAAACAGATGTTGGGAAGAACCAGCTTGCCCTTCAAGGGTACAAAGACTGCAGTTTTATGCAGAGCACCAACTGGAGCTTGCAATGCAAACGAGATCGCCCGGGCCAAGGACAGACAGGCGTCCCGACCGGAAATAGAGCCTTAACCCGCAAGAGAAACGGACAGCTGCCGCAGAGCCGCGGGGGGCAAGGGCCCTGGGCTCGGCCAGAGAGCATTCATCTTCCGGATTCCGGTGCCGGGACGGAGGCAGGCTCTCACCTGGGTCAGCAGGAAGAGGGCCAGCACGATGTGGACGCCCCGCTCCAGCGGCTGGATCAGGATGGCTTCGTTGAACAGCTGGAACAGGATCAAAGGGAGCTGCAGCAACAGGCTGAGCAGCCAGAACCCGGCCAGTTCAGGGACCTGCCA